TTGTCCGAAAAGTCAGTAAATCTTCAAATTTATTCCGATGAGTAGAAAATGAATTATAATTCATATCCCGGAATTCTGACAATTTTGAATTTGAACCATCTGGTTTGTCCGATTTCAGTACGGCCTTGGAGTTTCTCGTTTTGCTCCCCTTTTTTGCCTTAAATACGCTGTTAGGATGCATCAATACACTTCGCTTCCCCTCCCGCCCCTCGAATGCTACAGGATTAATTTCCTGCCTTGGTCGGTCCCACCAACAGAACAGCACCCACTGGCCCCACCCCATAGAACAGCATAAACTGACGATTTAATTGAAACGATAATTTATTCTGATGGGTCTGGGCAAGCTTTAATCTCCTCAAGCAGAGCGTGAGGACAAGTCGAATGCGTTTGACGAGGCACACGCGCGCCGTATATCGTTTGCGGACACGTTGCCAAAGGACGCATCTATTGCCTCACGAAACATGGCCACCTGTGATTGGCTAATCCCATCCAGGCTTATAGCTGAGTGCATGCATGTCACTAGGCGATGCTTACCAATAGTAAGTTTCCCATTGGACAGAACAGTCATAAGGTAGGCCAATTGGTGGAAGAGACAAAGACATAGGGCATATGGTTGAATAGACCACCTGGGGTAGCCTTCTAACTGTGTGAACGCTGAACAAGGTTGTTAAACACTTAACAAGAACGCATTCATAGATAGTGAGAGAAAGGTTGAAAAGCAAGAAGAAGTGTGTCGCGGCAGATAAAGACATAGTGGAAAAAGGTGAAAATGACAATACAAGGAAAATGAGGTTACACATGCCGTGACCCGTCTGGAGTGGGACGTGATGCCGTCCTATCAACTCAACCATCCGTGGAAAGTGCAGCGCTATCGACAGCTATCTAAGCCATAGATGTACTCAGACCATTACCATTATCAGGCCAGATCTCAGGTTTTATGTAAAAGACAGAAGATCCCAGAATGAGGGATTTATTGTGCACGGAACTCTGCGTTGCTACCTCAGGCACTAGTGGCCACTGGGGAAGCCAGGGCTAGTGTTGACGGTGTACAGTTATGCCTGAGGGAGAAGAGAGAGGAATATGCTTTAATTTGCAGGTAATATCCAAAATTCTCAATAAAAATGGCTCCTTTTAAGGGAAGCAAGGAATAAGGGGTAAGGTAAAAGGTCATAGAATACGCTAAGTTAAAGGTTTACATGATATCCACATCTGTTATGCAGACAGCTCGGCTTTCATTTCTCAATTTCCGTCTCTTCACACGTGAGATAGCGTGCTGGGAATTACATTACAGAGTGCTCATACGCCGGTGTACGACAAAATATCTGATGGAAGCTTCGGCGCATAGTACGGGAAGACTTCGCAGCCATTAATTCAGAATGGAGAGGGTGAGCGACCTCAAAAAGGGCTGCGATCAGCAACTTGCTTGACGGTTTTAAAGTGTCCCAATGTACTACAAGGTTAGCTTAAAAAGACATAGGAAACACCGGCAGCTGAAGAGACTATTCGGAGGCACATGCCGGATCGGCCGAGGGATGGTGTACTCAAGTGGCGCTTAGGCAGCCGCAACTATCTGGACGCGCGTATGTACACGAGTGGAAGTCGGGCAGGGGATCTGCAGGACAGTAAGTCTCGGAAAGCAAAGTTCCACGACCTTGAGTCAGTGAGCATTGATCAAGGAAGTCGAACAGCAATGTTGGCTGCCCGCCACGGGATCCTGGAAGCATGCTGGTAGTAGGAGATACGTGTAACGCCTGGCGGGCCGGAGTGGGAGATATGTTAGCGATGGGGAGACTGTGGGAGCCTGCCACTGTGCTGATTCACGCTACCTTCCTTTGTCACGCAAGCTATGTACTCGCACGTGACAAACTCCCCCGCTGTCAACCGCTGCGAGAAGCCGCGAT